GCAATCGATATTGAATGAGGGCTGCTGGCGTGCGTAATTCCTCAGCACACAGAATGAATAAGCAAGGGGAGAGTAAACAGCACTGACCAGCACTTTCCCTGGTTTTAAAACACGCTTTTAAAATGTGCTTGACACAATGGACGGGTGGATGGATGGTGATGAGAGCTGTATGAGCCCCCAACAAAATGATTAGAACAAAGCAAACCACGCTTACCCCATCACTGACTGCACGATCCTTCAGGATCGATCTTGACCGGTCCTCTTTGGCAGTGAATGGAATGCCATTCTTCTTCAGGGTGGCATTCCTGATGGAGAAGACCATGTGACTGTCTGATTCATAATGGCCAATACCAGGCCACTCCAGCCTGTCCTTATCAATCCTTATGATTGCTATCAAACCTGATGCTTGCCGTTTCATTTGTGATGACTTCCAGTTTTTCCAGATTGGTACTTTGTGCACGTCACACTCTGATTCTTCATGGATGTTTGCCGCTGCTCTCCTTTTGAGTCATGCCACAGCCTCAAAGGATGGTCTCCTCCCACCGCACCCCACCCCAGGCTTTGCTCCTCCCACGCCTTTCTGGTTGACGCCGCTTTGAGGAGGCAGCTCTTCTGAAGTTGTAGTCTGAGTGCTTTCCAACCTGCGGGCTCATTTTCCAGCACTAGCTCAGAGAATGTTCGGGAGTTTAGAAGATCTAGCTCTACTCATCTGTCATTTTGTTGTCCTGTGATGGCTTGCGTGTTGCTGTGATACTGGAAGCTACACCATTTCAAATACCTGCAGGGTCATCCAGGTGGGACTGGTTTCTGCAGGAAGAAATTCTCTATGGGAATTTTTTTACTTCTTTTAATGGAAGGGTACCGAGCACAGGGGGCTACATGTTTAAGACAAGGTCAACGGGCCATCTACATCTTCTGGCTTGGTTTCCAGAAGCTTCTATTGTGTGTCCGATGCTGTCCTAAGAGCTGGGGCCAGAGCAACGAAGAAGGCAGGTAAACGTCCCAGCCCAAAGCTCACTCCCTGAAGGGTGATATGTAGGAGGGGCCTGTGGCTGGGAAAGGACCTCATGCTGGGTCAAGGCGAGGGCTAGGGGTGGGAAAGAGGAGCCTTCATTAAGATGGGCTGACACAGGGGCTGCACCGAGGGGTTCAAACGTAACCATTGTGAGGCCGGTGCAGGACCGGTCGGCGGTTTGTTCTGTTGTCCGTAGGTAGGGTCATTATGAGTCAAACAACTCAAGGGCACTTCACAATGGCAATGGAGGACGGGGCTGCTACGGTGGTCAGGTCCAACGTATACGTCACCCTCACAGATGTTGTCCGAGCCCACGGCTGCAGCCATCGTGTCCGTCCATCTCCCTGAGGGCCTTCCTCTGTTTCGCTGCCCCTCTACTTTACCAAGCATGATGCCCTTCTCCAGGGACTGGTCTCTCCTGACAACATGTCCTAAGTATGTGAGCGGAGGTCTCACCACCCTTGCCTCTAAGGAGCATTCCTTCCAACTGTACTTCCAAGACAGATTGGTTAGGAGGGTGGGGTAGGAGGTGAGTCTTCCAGGCAGAGGGAACTCACTTCATTTCCCATCAGGGAACGTCTTCCCTGCTGGTGGCAAAGCCAGCTGAGCACTCATCCACCCCGCCCGCGCCCAACAGAAGGGGGCGCCCTCTCCACAGCAACGCCAACTGACCTGCCATCCTGGAAGCGCTGGCCTCCTGTAGGTCACTTGTCCTCTCTGAGCCAATCACTGGGCCCCAGGCACCGTGCTCGAACTGGCTAGCCTGAGTTAAGGCAAGTGCAATGGACCCACCCCACTCTATTTCCTAGGTAGGGTACCTGTCGTCTTTCTCCTCCGGTAAAGAGTTCCGGTCTGGGGCAGTTCTACCCTACCCTATATGAGTCAGAATTTATTTGATGGCAGTAAAGTGTTTGTTTGGTGGGGGGTTGGTACCTCTAGACAGCTAGCTACCTCAGTCCAGGACAATAGCTTTTGGGGTCTGGTTCACAATCATTGTCCTGTTGATCAGATTACACTTCTTTCTTGTACCCAATAAACAAACAAAAACAACCCCCACCACAGCCATGGGGGTTGATCCTTACTCATAGTGGTCCTATAAAGGGTTTCTAAGACTGTAAATCTTTACCAGGAGCAAACGGTCTCATCTTCCTCCTGGGCGGTGGGTTTGAACAGCCAACCTTGAGGTTAGCAGCCCAACACCAGACCCCTAGCACCCCCAGGGCTCAGGCTTTTATGGTTTGCCTCAAAGTGACTTTCCAGATTACCAGAAATGACTGCCCACTCCTGTAAGACCAGGTAGCAAGAAGAGTACCCACATGTACATGACCGGAACCCAGGGCTTTCAGAAACTGACATTTCAGTGCCAGGACACAGGCAATTCTACAAACACGCCCTGGTCTTGTGTACACTGCCTGGCCAGGCTGCCCAGTGTTCAATGACTGGTAGCCGTTATTAGCATTGCTGTTTATGCCTCTCCAGACCAGGGAGGGACGTTGGCTGGCACGATCCTATCAGTAGATTACATTTTTTGAATATTTGCTGTGTCCCGGGTCAGGGTCATACTTTACAGAGGAGAAAAGGCTGCGGGCTCAGATAAGGTAAGTCACTCGCCCAGGGTCACACAGCGAGGAAGTGTGTCTGTCCACCAGAACCAGAGAGCTGTTCCCGTCCCCCAAGTGGCCACTGGACCCTAGAGGGCCCTGACCCTCTCCTCCTACCCAGTGAGGCGGAGCTGTGGCCTCCTGCTTATCTCTCCCCAGGCGGCCTGCAGGCCCTGCCCGCCCCCAAGGGGGTGGGGTGGGAAGCTGCCACTTGGAGGCACTGAGCCGGGAAGGGGCTGGTCAGCTGTGTCCGGCGGAGGCAGCTGCTGACCCAGCTGTGGACTGCGGTGGAGACGGGGTGGAGGGGCTGGAGCCCTGGACCCCCATCGTGGGGTCTGCTCCATGGACCCTCTTTGGGCACCCCGAGTTGGCTCTCTCTGTCTCCTGCTTGCTGGAACCACCTGGGCCCCCTTACCCAATCCAGACCCCAAGTTTGAACGCAAAGGTAAGGATAGCGCTGGGTGTGAATCTCCACACTGGGTCTTGGGGGTCACGGTTGGCTTCTGCCGTAGCGTGCTGGAATTTAAAGGTCCTGCAGGGGCATCTAAAACTCCCAGGTTGGGTCCAGAGGAACGGTCAAAGGGGGCATACAAGTCCCTACTTTTAACTTTTCCAGGAGCCTTGGATATGGGAAATCCTACCGGGGGACAGGGAGGGGTGATGTGGGATCCGACCCAACCCCGGCCCCCCTGCTGACTGAGCCCCGGAGGCTCAGAGGACCCAGTCCCGGTCCGAGTGGACTTTATGAAGCGCAGGAGGACCCAGCAGGGTCCGAGTCCCCGGGCCTCGGCCGGCAGGCGACTGTAAACACTGTTGCGTCTGGCGCCAGATCCCTGATGCCCGCAGGCCCGAGGAAGGGGGCGGGGGCCACGGTTGGCGCTATCGGGCGGCCGGGAGCCTGCCAGCGCAGATAGGGGGCCCCGCCTCCACCGCACCCACCCACCCTCGCGCGCGTGCTGGGTGGGGCGGGGTTGGCAGCGGGAGGGGGAGGCCTTGAGCGCAGCAGTGCCCGGCGCCCGCCGCCGGAGGGCGGTTGCGTGTATATGGAGAGCGCAAGGCCGGCAGCGGGGTGCCTGGGAATTGGGGGGTACCCCTCACCAAAGCCGGCCGAGGGGCCTCAGCTGTGGGCGGGGCTTATTCTTATCGGACAGGACAGGCGGCCAGAGGGGAGGGGGCCCGTGGCCGGGGAGCATGGAACGAGGCTTCCCAGACCCCCTCCCCTTATCAACCTCCCCCACCCACCCACAGTGGCCCTGCTGGGGGCCCGGGGGCCCGAGGAGGAGCTGCTGTGCTTTACGGAGCGGCTGGAGGATTTGGTGTGTTTCTGGGAGGAAGCAGCCAGCGTCGGGGTGGGCCCTCACAACTACAGCTTCACCTATCAGCTCGAGTGAGTGAGTCCCACGTGGGCAGGTAGAGGCCCCCATGGGTGGAGGGGGCAGGCAGACGGGACAGCACTCCCTGGGGGTCGCAGTTGAGGACTGCACAGCCCCCCTTCCGCTGTGGGTGTGAAGTCCATGGGGTCAGGGAGGGGACATTCCCACTGGAACCCCCAGACATCCCAGCTGGGACGAGCTCCCTCCAAATCCCAAACTAAACCAAACTCATTGACCCTGCGTTGATGGCGACTCCAGGCGACCCTCCAGGACAGGGTCTAACTGCCCCCGTAGCTTTCCAGGACTGCGAGTCTTTATGGACCTTGAAAGCCCCCTTTTTCTCCTGCGGAGCAGCAGGTGGTTTTGAACTGCTGATCTTGTAGTTAGTGTAAGTAACCAAAAAACAAACTCACTGCCATCAAGTCAATGCTGACTCCTGGCAACCCTGTGGGCAGCATAGAACTGCTCCTGTGCGTTTCCAAGGCTGTTTCCCAGGGGAGGTGCTGCTGGTTTTAAACTGCCAACCTCATGGTTAGCAGCCCGACGTGTAACCATTGCACCACTAGGGCTCCGAAGTCAAGACACTCCCACCTCCACAGTATGGAGAAGGGTACCCTAGGGGCAGCTGGGATGTAGCATTCCTCCGCGAACTGGAGACCTGTGTCAAGGAGTCAAGGTTCCAGAGCTGCAGGAGTGACCTTCACCCTCCACAGGGCGGACACATCCCTCACGCCTAAGGCGTCCCTCGCTGTAGTGCCCGCAATGCCCCAAGGAGCTGGCAATACTGATCCCCCCCAAACTGCTCCCTTCCCTCCCTCGTCCCTTGGTGCACAGGGGCGAGCCATGGAAGCTATGTCAACTGCGCCAGGCGCTCACGGCCAGCGGCGCGGTGCGCTTCTGGTGCTCGCTGCCCACGGCCGACACGTCGAGCTTCGTGCCCCTAGAGCTGCGCGTCACGTTGGCCGGCGCCCCCCGCTACCACCGCATCATCCACGTCAATGAAGTGGGTAGGTGCCCTGAGACACGGAGGCGGTCCCGGGAGAGGGTCTCGGTCCTCGCCCCCTTGACCCTCCCCTCCCGCAGTGTTTCTGGACCCTCCCACAGGGCTGGTGGTGCGACAGGCGGACGAGGGCAGCCACGTGGTGCTGCGCTGGCTCCCCCCGCCTGGCGCGCCCATGACCAGCCACATCCGCTACGAAGTGGACGTCTCTGCGGGCGGCGGCGCCGGGGGCGCGCAGAGGGTGAGGCCCGCCCCCATGCTCCACCCCATCTTTAGACCCCAGTGCGGCTGGGCACAGACAGGCCGCCTCAGCCATAGCACCCCTGCTCGCCCTCCGACTCCCCTCCCCTCCAGGTCCCATCCCTGACACCCCACCACCCCATTGCCCTGATGTCCAAGAGGGCTCCACGCCCCACTGCTGTGCCCCCTTCCTCAGTGTCTCCTCGGCCTTCCAGAATCCTCCATGTCCTCAACCCCACTTCTTGCCTAGTTCGGGCGACAAGGTTCGAATTCCACCCCTCCTCGCCCAGATTAGCAAGGTCCTCCAGGCCCCGCCCCAAGCGCCCCTTTCCATTCGCCCCGCCCCCAGGCCGAGATCCTGCCGGGCCGCACCGAGTGTGTGCTGAGCAATCTGCGGGCCAGGACGCGTTACACCTTCGCGGTCCGCGCGCGGATGGCCGAGCCGAGCTTTGGTGGCTTCTGGAGCGCCTGGTCGGAGACGGTGTCACTGCGGACGGCTAGCGGTGAGGCCTAGGTCCGCGGGGGATGGGGGGTGGGTGGAGGGAGGGCTGGGGCGGAGCCGGGGGCAAGCCCACCCCCTGACCTGCTCTCCGCCCGCCTGCCTGCCAGACCTGGATCCCCTCATCCTGACGCTCTCCTTCATCCTGGTACTCACCCTGCTGCTGCTGGTCGTGCTCGCCCTGCTCTCCCACCGCCGGTGAGCCCCCTTGAGGGTCCTGAGCACGCCGGTCCGCAGTGCAGCCTGATGGAGCTAGAACACCTTGCACCGATGAGATCCAGGCTGAGAGAGGGGCAGACATTTGGCCAAGATGACTCAGTCATGTGTGATGGCAGGGACCCCCCCACCCCCACTAGCCCGACCCAAACGTGGTTAAAATTCTCTGCTCCTGGGGACATTCTTTGACTGTCCCTTCCACCTCAGTTGCTACCCCTTCCCCAACTCTGTATTTGGTCCCTCGCCCCAATGCCATTAGCGTTTATAAACGCAACCAGATGGATTTCATGGCAAGACTTCAGCTCTGGGGTTCTCCATCAGGCCTTTGAGATGCGGTGTGATCTGAACAGCCGCCCGGAGGCATATGTACATCAGTGTCCAGACCAGATGGTTTCACGCCCTTAAACTGTCAGCGCCACGCTTCTGACTCACAGCGACCCTATAGCGCAGGGTAGACCTGCCCCTGTGGGTTCTGCTGACACTGGAAACCTGAGGCCAGGAACCTATGGCCCTCGAAGGGATACTGGTATCTGGTGACACATACCCACTCCTCCATTTCCCTTGGCGTCCCCAGGGCTCTGAAGCAGAAGATCTGGCCAGGTATCCCGAGCCCCGAGAGCGAGTTTGAGGGCCTCTTCACCACACACAAGGGGAACTTCCAGGTAGGTGGCCTGCTGGTCCCCTCGGGGCCAAGGGCTTTGGGCAAAACCCCCAGGCCTCTGAGCTGGCCGCTACTGTTCCCACAGCTGTGGTTGTACCAGAATGAAGACTGTTTATGGTGGAGCCCCTGCACCCCCTTCGTGGAAGACCCCCCTGCTCCCCTAGAAGTTCTGTCTGAGCGCTGCTGGGGGGCCACCCCGGCAGTGGAGCCAGGGGCAGCAGATGAAGGGCCCCTGCTGGAGCCAGTGGGCAGTGAGCAGGCCCGGGACACCTATCTGGTGCTAGACAAGTGGCTGCTGCCCCAGAGCCCACCCAGTGAGGGCCTGCTGGGGCCTGGTGGCAGCGTGGGCACGGCAGCCACGGACTCGGACTTGGACACTTCCTCCTGCTCATCCACCTTGGTCAGAAAGCCCGGGCCAGAGGGGGCTTCAGCTGCCAGCTTCGAGTATACCATCCTGGACCCCAGCTCCCAGCTCCTGTGTCCACGGACACTGTCCCTTGCACTGCCCCCCACCCCGCCCCACCTTAAGTACCTCTACCTCGTGGTCTCTGACTCCGGTATCTCCACTGACTACAGCTCTGGAGGCTCCCAGGGGAGCCCAGGGGATGCCTCTGACGCCCCTTACCCCAACCCCTATGAGAATAGCCTTGTCCCCACACCCGAACCCTCACCCCCCAGCTACGTAGCCTGCACCTAGGAGCCCAGTCCAGAGGTGCCTGGGGATCCAGCACAGCTCAGCACTCGAGTTACGATCCAGAGCTAAGACTCACCGGGCAGGGTTGTCTAAGCCTTCCTCAGGGCTGGGGGCATGGCTGGCATCGGTATACGGCCTAGTCCACCCAGCTCAGGCCAGCAGAGCGTCCCAGAAGTCTTCAAACCGCATCTATAAAGGGACAGCTCAAGCTCCTCTCGTGTCTTTTCCAAACACTCACCCTTCCCTGGGTCGAGGCCCGAATAAAGATCCTTGAGCTCTCTGTATTTGTGGACCTGGTGCCTGAACAACCAGCATTAAGTAAATGGATTTGTCACTGTAAATGACACTAGTTGTTTTAATGAATGACATTAAGTCTTGGTAACTTAGCACACTAGTGTTTCTCTTATCCCTCGACTCAAAACAGGTGGGCTGCCATCCTGGAGAAGAAGGCAGAGCCCCAGGCGTTTCTAAAGCAGCGATTTCAACCTGTGGGTCTTAACCCCTTTGGGGGTCAAATGATCCTTTCACAGGGGTCACCCAATTCATTAACAGTAGCAAAAAGAGTTATAAAGTAACAACGAAAATAATGTTATGGTTGGGGGGGTCACCACAACATGAGGAACTGTATGAAAGGGTTTCAGCATTAGGAAGGTTGAGAACCACTGGTCTAAGGCGTCATCATCCTTTAGGGCCATCTTGGCTCTTTAGTTGGCATCTCACGAGGCAAGCCTTCAGAAGATTCTAGGCACCATTTAAAGGACCTGGCCCAGAACGGTCTGTCTTCTCATGTTCGAGTAGAGCAAAAGTCATGTGATGCCAGCTACACCCGTGGAAGGCTGGGATATGTAGTTTAGCTGTGTGCCCAGAAAGCGAGGGGAAAGTTGTTGAGTGAGCCTCTCGCTAGTCTTTAAGGAACCCTGGTGGTGCAGTTTGGGAGAAAGACAGGGCTTTTCTTTCCATTCCTACATAGACTACCGTCTTAGGAATGCACAGGGGCAGTTCTACCCTGTCCTACAGGCTCGCTGAGTCTGCATCCACTCCATAGCAGTGAATTTTTGGCTCAGTGGTGCTGTGCGTGGGCATTTCAGACCCACCAGCAGGTTCTCCCTGAGAGAAAGATGAAGCTCTTTGTTCCCGGAAAGACCGATAGTCTCAGGAACCCTATACGGGGTCACTGTGAGTCAGAATTGACTCAAGAGGGTCGGGGGAAACTGGTCTTTGCCATAGAAAACAATAATAATTCCCTGGGCCTTCCTTGGAGAAAGCATTTAGATGCAACTAAGTGGTGGTGAGGGTGTGGCTCGGGGCAGTCCAGTTTAAGCACGCTGAAGACAGTTTGGTACAACCCAGGAAAGCCGAATAGGCGCCCCGGCGGCAGTGTAGTGATTACGAGCTGGGCTGCTAGACACAAGGTCAGCAGTTCCAAACCACCAGGTGCTCCTCAGGGGAAAGAGGAGGCTTTCTACTCCGGGAAAGAGTCACAAACTGGGAAACCCTCAGGGCCAGTTCTACCCTGTCCTACAGGGTCGCTCTGAGTCCGAATGCGGTAAAGTGGGGAAGCTCATCATACATACGCCTTTGGTTCCAGCAATTCCACTTCTGGGTAAATACTCTCAAACTCACAAACAGCCCCCGGGACACAGGACATGTGTAAGAAAGCTCATCTCAGTGAATGAAAAAAAAAAACAAAAAACAAACACGTGGCTGAATCTTACAACTGTTTATGGGAAAAGAAGTTTCCGGTGACATTTAGTATAAAACTCATTTTATAAAGGTCAAAGCAACACGAAGCAGTATGTGGTTTGGGCAGAAGATGTGTGCGACAGCTCTTTGAAACGAGGCCAAGGCACTGGACATTCTTTTGGGTTTGGAATTTGCACACTGTGTCCCTGAGGTTAAGCATTCCAACCCTCGGCTTAGAAATGGGGAACAAACAGAGAGAGGCAGTTGCACTCCAAAGCTCAGGGCTGGCCTCTAGAGTAGGGGCCCTGGTCTGAGCTGGGGTCACCCATCTCAGCAGACAATGGGGTGATGGCCATCTCTCCATCTGGCTGGAAAGCCACCAACCATTCTGTCCTGGGGCCCGGCCTGCCCGGCTCCAGACAGGCTCGGAGGCAGCGCTGCGAGGGGCCTGGTGCATCTGGCTGCAGCCAACAGCAGGCAGAGAGATACCGCCGGAGCAGTGCCAACTGCAGCATGTCCCCACTGTCTGCTTCCTCCTGGGTCTGGAGGGCTACCATGAGCCCACAGCCCCCACTGGGCCCAGCCCGGTGGCTGAAGTGGGCAGCAGTGTCCAGAAGCAAGGCAGCTAGGCGGGCAGCTTCGTGGGGCGCGTGGTGCTCTGACAGGTACTCCTCAAGGCCATCCAGCAGCAGGAGGGCGGGGGCTGGCCCCTGGGCCTCGTGGGCAGAGCACAGGAGCCGGAAAAGCTCCCGCATGGAGGGTGGGTACTGGAAGCGGATCTTCTAGACGGAAAAGACAAGGCAATTTCAGCACCAGAAGCACAGCTTTGACTGCCCTGCTTGCTTTCATACTTCCCTGGACAGGGTTCTCACTCCCTACTCTGTTGGAGGAGGATGCAGCTCTGACCTGCCAAATGATCTCCTATTTGACCCTATTCCCAACTCACCGCTGATTTGTGAGTGACAGTGTCTTTCCTCAAATGTCTAAGTAGTGCTTCCCCTAGGGACGTGAGAACTATGGGGGGTGGGGGAGGCTGCAGAAGCAGACACCCACGTTTTATCCTATCCTAGAGCCCTGCTGGCAATTGAGGGTTACGCTTTGCGCT